ATTGCGTTTTCTACATGGAGTAACCACTGGAGGTGCCTATCTTTAACATGGGGGAAAACCTCGGAAAATCTTAGTAGTATCTCCAAACAGTGTTAAATCTATTTCAGGAGAGTGAATGAAAGGAAGAGTAATGGAATCCTCAGGTAACAAAGTATTGCCAAATTTCTTCTTATTTTGACCAAGAAACGGCCCTAGAAAAGCATGCATACTACCATTCTCAAGGGAGAAGGGAAGAAGTACCTGAGAGTTATAGATCTTGAGGCTGGCTTCCTCCATGTCGGGAATAGGGATAAAAGACTCATTGCTCTCAGGGATAGTGCAAACCTGGGCATTTCTCATCAACAAAACAATAGACTGAGTGGAGGTTGCAATTGCCATTACAACATGGGATGTTGTGGTGCCCAATGTAGGAGATGATGTAGAAACCACAGTAGGGGACGAAGCAAAAGCCATAGTTGGAGATGAGGCAGAAGAAACAGTAGGAGACACTGTGGAAGCTATGGCAGTAGAGGTAGACGCAGCAGAGGAGGCCATGACGGTGGAAATATTGATGAAGGCAAAGAGCTTAGAATGAAGGAATGAAGGTTTCCGGAGAAGGAAAAAGCCAAGAATTGTAGTAGCAGAAAGCAAGAAGACTTGAGCGCCAAGAAGAAAAGTAGTGAATGTGGTTTTACCCTAGGGTAAAAAAGAGTTTTTATGGGCTTGAGATGAAACGGGCCTGTAAGTCAAGTTAAATTCAAATCAAATGATAAAAACGGCCGCCAAAATATTTTGATAACAGTGAAAAACGGAAACATGCGCCGTTATTGCCATCAATGTCGCATCAAACAGTCATTTGCATTAAATGCAAATCAGGATACAGGTCAGAATAGGTTTTCATCGAAAAAGTACAAAGACTCCAATTAAATACTTCGAAAATTAATCAGAAAACAAATCTCGATAGGAATTCGAATCTTTCTGGCCCGTACGCACATCAAGATTGAATTCCTAGGGGGCATTTGTTAGGTCTACTCAAAAAAACCGCATAGGTCGAAGCTGTGTCTAAGATTTCTCGGGAAAATATTACGAAATCAACTCCTGCCAATAACAGATGTTCGAGATCGAAGACAATTATTTCGAGTTGAATAAAGGTTATGCTCAAAATTTAGTGAAGATTGTATGGGGTGCTCATGGTCATACGAGTGTAGTTAACAAGTACAGGTCGAGAAGTTAATACACGTGGGAGAACGGTTATGGGAAGTTACAATTTGGAAGCCACGTAATAAACATAGTGGATAGCAGTTATTTGGTAATGGCCTACGTGCACGAAGTTAACCGTCATTGATTCACTCTATAAATTTAAAAGTTCTGTACCTTTACAAAGGTCGAAAAACTCATACTAAAACTATACTCTCAAGCACTCTCTGCCTACGCATATGGCTTTCGTGCACGAAATTGTTTTTGGGTATGATTTCTTCTCGGCCATTTTCCTTTTCTCTTTTTAGGAGTAGAACTAGTGTAATTTCTTGTTCTTTAAATCTCTTAGTGTTAGATTATTATCAATGCTGTAATATTTTGAACTTTGTGTAAAGTGAACCATGATTTGTATTACTAATATCATTATCGTTCATTCTGTTCATCTAAGTATTTACGTGCATGGAAATTATTACGTGTTAATCATTGATGAATGCTTAGAAACCAGTAATCATTGATCATTTTACTCTATTCCTCTTCGTTCTATAGAATTCAAAAACATATACCTAAATTGAAACATTTGTTGTGCTAGTCTGAATAAAAAAGAACCCGTAAACGAATTCCACCATAAACAGGTTGTCAAGTCTAAGATGACATGGTCGAGGTTGAGTTGAAGAAGAACAAAACAAGGTTGAGCTAAAGTTGAACTCGACATGGCCTAGTTGAATATGCATTGGCCAAGGTTAAGCAAATTCGAACCAAAGATGTGTTTGTCAAATTCAAGTTGAAGATGTCTTGGTCAAAGCTAAGCCAATGATGTCACGGTTAAGGTCAAGTCAAAGATGTCATAATCGAGGTTGAGCCATACATGTCATGGTCAAGGCTAAGTTTAAGTTGCCTTTCGTTGAGGTTGAGCTAAAGATGTCCTGGTTGAGAAGCCAAGTTATAAAGATGTGTTGGTTTGAATTCTACCTAAAGATGTTACAAATAAAGTCAAGTCGAAGATGTCATGATTGAGGTCTATCCAAAGATTTCATGCTCGAGATCGAATCGAAGATGAACTAGACGAGGTTGAGCTAAAGAAGAACTGGACAAGGTTGAGCCAAAGATGAATTTAACAAGGCCGAGCCAAATATACATGCACTTGCTAAAGATAAAATGGAGATGTGTTGATCAGACATTTCATAGTTTACATGAGCCAAAGATGCCTTTTTTCAAGTTGAGCTAATGACTCCTTAGCCGAGGCTGAGGGAAAAATACCCTAGTCAAGACTAAGTTGAAGATACTTTGCCCAATGCCCTAGTTGATGTCAAGAAGAAGATGCATTATTGGTCAAGGTTGAGCTAAAAATGTCCTAGTCGAGACAAAACCAAAGATGTCAATATTGAGGCTTAGTTGACAATGCCTTGGTCTACATTAAGTCAAAGAAGCCTTGATCGAGTCTAAGATAAAGGTGCCTTAGACAAGGCCATGCCAAAGTGAAGACACTTTGGAAAATGCTGAGTTGAAGATAATTTAAGTAAGAATAATTTTCCATAAGCCTTCATCCAATATATAATTGACAAATAATTTTTTTTCTTAATACTCCATCTATTCCCTTTTTTATAAAGTTCATTTTCTAATATCACATAATTGATAGATCTATATTTTATTTATTTTTATCTACTTGAAATTGGGATCTTGTAAATAATATATTAAATGTTTTCCTGAATCCTCTATAGATGAAGTGTCTATGAATAAATTTTCAAAAACGTAAGGTATTTTATTTCTTACTTCTATTAATGACTTTATATTTCTTTGTCAATTTATATCAAGACTCTATTTTTGCTGAAATTGAGCCAAAAATGTCATGGTCGAGGCTAAGCAAATGATAAATAAATAATGTTGAGCCAATTAATATTAACTCGACAAGGACAAGCATGAAAATGCATTGGTCGAGGTCAAGCAAAAGATGTCCTAGATGAAGTCAAACCAAATATGTGTTGGCCGAATTCAAGTTGAAGACACCTTAGAGAAAATCAAACTAAAGATGTGTTGGTTAAGGATAAGTTAAAGATGCCTTGGTTGTGGTTGAGTTAAATATTCCTTTATCAAAGTCAAGTTGAAGATGTGTTGTTGAAGTCGAGCTAAAGATGATATAGATAAAGTCAAGTTGAAGATGTCATGATTGAGGTTAAGCCAACGAACAAAATTGAGTTGAAGATCTCATGGTCATGATCAAACTAGAGATGAACTAGACGAGGGTGAGTCGAAAAAGAACTAGACAACGTTGAGCCAATGATGAATTAAACAAGGTCTAGCCAAAGATAGATGCACTAGATGAAGCTGAACTAGAGATGTGTTGATCGAAGATATATAGTTGAGCCCGAGGCAAAGATGCCATGTCTCAAGTCTCGTCAAAGATTCTTTGGTCGAGGTCGAGCAAAAGATGCCCTAACTAGGAATGAGTTGAAAATATATTATGCACAATGCCCTAGTTGATGCTAAGAAGAAGATGCAATATTGGTCAAGGCTAAGCTGAAAATGTCCTAGTCGATGTCCAACTAGAGATGTAATAGTGGAGATCAAGTCAAAAATGTCAAGATTAAGGTTAAGTCAAAGATATACCCATGGTCTGCATTAAGTTGAAGATGTCTTGGCCAAGTCTAAGCGAAAGATGTCTTAGACAAGGCTAAGTTGAAGATACCTTGGCCAATACCAAAGTGAAGACACTTTGGGAAACGATGAGTTGAATGTAAGAGAAACTTCCCTTAAGCCTTGGCCTAACTCCCTTATTAAGTGAATTATGGGTCAAAGGATTTTGAGCCTTTTCACTAGATGGGTTGGCCCTAGGGCTATTGACAACATAATGTTTTAAAATGGTTCATGGAATTTGTTTTTGCCATTGAAAATTTTGTTCTTAGTCATGTTCATAATTAGAAGTAGAGACATCATTGTAATTTTTTAAACTTGTATATTTGTTATGGTGATTGTTTATCTCCGGTAAAAAAAAAAAATCATTTTACAATATTTTTCTACATGATTGTTACGCAATCAATGTAAAAAAAGTGTCGCTTTAACATTTTTGAAATTTAAAATATTTTTAGTGATTCTAGACTAGTCAATGTAAAAAGGATCTCTTTTCGTAAGTTTAAATTAGAACTAATGTAATAAAAGCCTTTTATATTAGTTGGATTCTGAATCAATGTAACATAGGAAGAACATAGGATAATAAATTGGACTATTGGGGATGGGGCGACAAAGATACTGACATCGTAAAGGACATTTGGAAGGAAAGGACGCGATACTAGAGGATGAAGAATTTCAACTAGAAGATGAAGAAATTCATTGAAGATACTATAGCTTTGGTAAATTATTTTCTTTGGATAATGTTGTTGAATAGTTCACAGTTGTTAAGCTTGTTGGTAGATGTGTGGTTAGGGTTGGGTGTCGCATGGAATGGAAGCAAGGGGCTATGTGAAAAGGGATCGGTGGTTGGGGGTGGGGGCTAAGAGGGAACGTGGGATTTGGGTGTGGAGAAGAGAGATGCAGCATTGGGGTGACTTTCCGGTTATCTTGTTAATTCAATTCTACATCTATGTATAATATCACTTATTTTTTACATCGTGATATCTACATCAGTGGTACAATTGATATAGAATATAAATTTGAATGATGATAAATTCTCTTTCTACACTAATAAATTTTTTGATTGTTTTATCCATAAAAATAATAATAACAGCATAAACATAAGAGAGTGGCCATGGTTCTAGTGATCCCTTAATTGGTTTTATTTTCTTGTTGTTTTCCCTCTTTAATTAAAAAATTACGATCAAAGAAACTACAAAAAATACTAAATTAATTGTTAGTCTTTTTTATTAATGCATTGTGTTGAAAGAACAGGAGTTTTAATTTATTAGGGGCACACAAAAGTAACACATAATTTGATTCTGTTTCCTAGCTAGTAGTTGGATCTACACGCGGATATGGACCAGTATTCCTTGCATCGTCTTTGATATTCCCCACTCTTAGCTTTTGGAGCATCTAGAATCTTCTGTAACTCTTGAGGTCGACAAGGTAGTGCAAGTGCTCCTTGCTGTGTGAAACCATACTCTTCCCGAGCTTCATCCAGAAGTTCCAAGAATGCAGGATCAGTCAAGTACTCCAAACTAACAATAAACCTTTTGGTTTCTTGACCCTTGATTGCAAGAACAACAAAGTATCCTTCCATAACATCATCAGTTGTTGCACAATCTTCACTGAAGTAGCTAAATGCAGGCCTCCTTGGTCCAAACAGTGAAAGACCCTTTTGCATCCTCTCAACAAAATACCTAAACATCTTGATCTAGCTTTGTAATTTTCTTCTGATATACTTAGAATTAATTATTGACTTAGAGGTTTTAGAGGCTGGTGTCCTCGTATGTAGGGTTTGGCAATTTATATGGTGAGAACACACGCGGGATTTCTGGAGTCTAGGTGCAGATTGGCCAACATGCAGTGGATGACGTGTGGCGTTTTTTGACAAACTGTCTTATCTTTGAAGGGAGGGCCTATCTACAATATGTGTTGTCCTTGTCCATGTCTTTCTCTTATCTTACAATGTACATGTTCCAATACTATACGATCCAAGAATGTGGTTCTTTTTTTCGGTTTAATGAAGAATTAGGTTCTTCTTAATGTCCAAAATGAATGTTTCGAACAACCACATTTTTTGGCTTAGGCGAATAATAACTTTTTGTTCTTGAAACAAATCAAAACCGAGTAGAAAGTCTTTTATAACAATCGCACTGGTAAATACACTTGAATTATTATCTATTTTCTAAAGCTCCTTTAATTTCCTCTTCCTGGTAGTGGCTGAGGGGTTGAGTTGAGTGGGCTTATGATGTGGCAGCTGAGATTTGGAAGCTAATTACAGTTTCGAGTAGGAGATAGATATGTGATTTCATTAATATGCAGTATATATGCTAGTGATTTTGATTTCATTGATATACTTTGAAGGGGAAAAAAAATAAACCTACCCCCAAATTTAGGGACTATGCATGGGATGGAAGGAGGAGAGATAAAGGAAAAGAAAGAAGTAGAACAAAAGATAAATGTGACAATATCATAAAAATGAAAGATAAAAAATTGAAATGGAAGTGATGAATTATAAGAGAAAGTAAATATACTAACATACACTCGTACTTAAATTTTCAGTTAAACATTACTCATTAGTGAATTTTTCATCCAATCCATTCCCCTATATGTATTGTTACTCTTTCTGGTCCAAAACTATTAATGTGTAAGTTTTGATGTACAATTTTTTTTAGAAATATTTAATATTATTCATAAATTAGTATATTTAGTCTATAATATATTTTTTCATTTAATATTTATTTTTGAAGTAGTTATAAAGTAAAACATGATTATTAAATAAAGTAAATGTTAAAACTAAAATTAAGAATATGTTGTATAACATCATAAAAAAAATTTATGTCCAAGACTCTAAACTAAAAATTAGAGATTAATCTCTTAAGATATATATATATATATTTAAGAGATTAATCTTTCCTAATACGCACTTAAAAATCGAATATCTAACCATCACTAGCTTAAAGAACATATTATCCGCTAATTATATTACACCATATTGATAAAAATAATAATTTTAAAACATAAAAAGAACAAGTAATTTTGTACAAGAGGAAGCATATAAAATGATAGAATTAGTATTATTTATGTAATTATGTAGGATTTGAACACGTTTCTCCTTTGACTATTAGTTCTGAATATCTTGAAGACTTGAGCAATGCCGACAAAATGAAAATGGCTATGGGTACGCAAAATGCCGATAGAATTTTCAGTGCCTTATTTTGTTGGTCCCTATTCTGCTTGGAGCCAACTATGTCACTGGATTTTTGTATGTTATGCATTATATATTCATTAGTTACGTACCATTCATCTGCAACGCCAATTTAATGGGGTCAACCATAAAACACTTTTTGATCTGTTTAGAGAGTGGAGTCGTGCGGACAAGCATGCATGTGAGTATGACTAGACCACTAGTATTTGACTGAATTAATCTTATTTTTTTCCCAAAAAGCATTTTAGTGTTCATCATGCTGTTTCTTGCAGATGTATTAATTGTATTTATTTTCTTCTGCATCAGCTAAATTTCGTGTATTTATTGTTCTTAGTGCTATTGGAGAATTTGTTGGATGAGCTGGCTTAGACTCTAGATAGTCATATAAGGCAACTATCCAAAAATATACTTAAATTATATATAAACGAAAGTGTTTAATTAATTTAAATCTAAAAAATTAAAGGTTCATTCCCTTTATGCTAAAATTGTATACAGGTTCATTGTTTAATTTAAATCTCTTCGAACCTAAAGTGTGAATAATATACAGGTTCATTCCCTTTATGCCAAAATTTTATCGATAAGAATTCGGCTATCTAACTATATTTTAAAAAAAAAAGTGTATAAAAAATTTACACCCATGTTTATAATATGAATGACCAAAGCTCTGATGTGTCCATCCATGATCCACGTATATATCAAGCAATTTACATAGTTAGGAGTTTGGCAATCAATGAAATTAATAATTAATAACAACAATTAGAGTGAGTTATAAATCACTTATATATATGGCAATCTTTTCTGATGATATATATATAGTGTGGTACATGTTCTTCATGATGAACTGATGATGGTAGAGGGTAGCAGACAATTATTACATAATAAGTACTCTGAAGAAACGCATGTGAGGCGAATTCCAATAAACTAAAGTAACAGTAGTGAATTTGTGGTTAAGTGAAGTCCTTGCTTTATATAGCTCGACGACAAAAGTCAGATATTACATGTTCAGATCAAAAGAAATGCGAACACGTACATGCAATAAAGGCTTTCCATGGTAAGAGATCATGTCACAATTTTAAAACTTTCATCGCAGGTCGCCAAAGAGGCAAAGACAAAAGTAACTAATTTTCCTTTGTGCACCACACTTGTGTATTTGTGTCGATCAACATTGATACTTGACGCATTTCAAAGTAAACTTCCAAGTGTATATGAAAGATAGACAAAACGTAATAAGTTTACAAGTAAATTCGGATGTCTCTAAATCAAAAAGTGTAGACTAATCTCTATGTTAGTACCTTACTGATTTGATGTGTTGTTCTTTATTTTGGTTAAATTAGTCCTATGATCCTTCTCGATCGGTTAATGTAGCAATTGGGAGTTGAGCGCCAAGTATGTCTAGGACTTGTAATCTCCTTAAAATATTTCTTTAATAATCATAAGTTTTTAGAAAAATTTTGTGTTACTAATAATTAGTATTTTATTTTGCAGACATATTTATTATATATGATTAAAATTTATAATAAATTATATATAAATACATATTATATTTAAATATATAAATTATATTTAAAATTTTTAAAGAATTATAAATAAAATAAATAAAAACAATAAATAAAAGAGAAGAATTTAGAACTTCTGAAGCAAGTTTTATAAAAAAATCTTCCTAAATGCGTGTGGAACGTGTTTTGGCAGCCCTTCATTCTACAAAAGTCTCATTATCTTTCAGAGATTTATATAGAAAGGGGAAAGCTATGCAACTTGAGCTCCCTGATTCCTTAACTAGAGGAATTCTTATATAGCTATCTAAAAAGCAAAATCATAAAAGAGTTGTCTGATGTGGGACTAAATCTTACAAAAAAATATAATTTTTTTCTAGGCACCGTGTAGGTCCTTTAGAGAATTTGTTAATCGTCGGATTGTGCTAGTTATTTTATGGTATCCTCACAATATATTAATCTTCAATTTCAATAGTTTGATCATTAAAATCAAATCTGTAGTGAGAGATACTATTAGAACAAAAATGTTGTCTAGTATAAGACTCCTATTTTCTAGCTGCAATGCGAGGCCTATAGAAAATTTGTTAACTGTTGGCTCATGCTGAAATTTTGATGATATCTTCTCAATGAATTTATCTTTAATTTCAACGTTCATATCATCAAAATTAGGTCTGTAGCGAGAAATATTATCAAAACAAAAATGTTGCCCAGCGCGTTGGGCCCTCAAGGGCCTTTTGTCTTGCTCTAGTAGACTTTTGTCCTTACTTTGGAAACCCCAGACGAAATTAGGTGTCTACATTAGACATGAGTGATATCTTATTATCTGTGAAGTTTTTAGAACATTCATCTAACTAGTGGAAAAAAGGCTTTTAAAATCGGTTATTTTAGACTTTTAAAACCGGTTATAGAACCGATTTTAAAAGAGCCGATTTTGAAAAGGTAGACTTTTAGAATCAGTTATTAACCAATTTTAAAAGTAGACTTTTAAGATCGGTTGTATTATAACCGATCTTAAAAGTCAACCGATCTTAAAAGTCTATTTTTAAAATCGATTATGGCATAACCGATCTTAAAAGTAGTGATTTTTTTTTGTATGTTTGACTTGTTTTGGGAGCACCTCAGAACAAAAAACCTGCATAAAAACCAGATAGTTCAAAATATTTTCTCAATGAAGCACAAATCACATATAAATGACAAGATGATAAATGTTAATCATATATATATAATTGAATAGTTTTAAATACATTTAATACATAAATGGACTACATTGCTCAATGAAATGTAAGTTCTAACTAGTTAAAGCAATACTATAAAACATAAGCCCAAACTAGTTAAAGTAATGGTCAATAAAAAACACTACAAAAAAAAATGTTATTTAGTGAGAGTTATTTTACGGGGATTTTTAAAACCTCCTCAAATTAACATAACTTTCGGTATTTTTGAGAAAAGCTTAAAATTCTGAATGTAGCGGCGGTTTCTATCATTTTTTTTAGGAGGTTTATGCCCTCCCAATTCATATACAATTTTTCCCGCAAAAAATTTCCTGCTTTTCCTCTTTTACTTTTCCCCAATTTTTTTGAATCCCTCCTTCAATCACTCTTCCACTCTTCGAGCCTCTCTTCTCTCTCACCCTCACGATCCCCTTCCTTCTTCCTCAGGTACCATTTCCTCTTTCTCTTTTCCATTAGGTTTTCGTTTCATGCAGGGAAGTGCTTTCCCTCTTTTCTTTACCATTTCCGCTTCATGCAGGGAGGTGATTTTTGTGGGGCCATTGCCAGGAGGAGGGTGACACATCCCATCCCGAACCGTCGCCCATTTCAGTCGCCAACCACCGTGCGCATAGGGCTGTTCCACTGCACTCCCCAACAACAAAGACAGCCCCACCACCTCCCGCCCTGCTCAGCTGCTCGGTTCTGGAAAAGGAGGTACATGGGTTTATTTAGTGCTTCATAAATTTCATCAAAATTGAGTTTCTTCTTCCTATTATATTATTGCTTCATTCATTCTCTTTGTCAACTTACGCTCTCAATTTCTCCTGAATCTCCTGAAGATTTCATCTTTACGAAATTCATTTTCGGCATTTCAATGCTTTGTGATAGTAATCTTTTGTTTTTTTTTCTTAATTTCTTTTGAAATTAAAATTTAGGTATTATTTTTGTGCTGTGACGAGACAATTTTGTGGACTAGAGATTCTGATATGGGGGTTTACTCAGAAGTTGATTATTAACCCTTGGCTGTCTAAGCACACCCAATTTTTTATTATAAAGTTTTGTTTTTTCATTTGTTTTTCAATTTTAATTTTAATTTTAATAACATTTGTGATTTTGGAACACTTATTTTGTTATTGATTTGAGAAAATGATTTGGCTTATGATGATAATTTAATTATCTTAGCGGATTTCAGTGAGATTTCTATCAATGATCTGATTGTTACACACACTGAAGCCATTCACTAATTCTAGATTTTGACTTTTGTTTTTAAATGTGCATTTTCTATTTGTTCTATTTCGTTGTACCTATTGTTATTAGTGTAGCCACAATAGGTGGTATTTGACCTTTTTGTTACCAGGCATTGTAGTAAGCAATTTTGTGTTGAGAAGTGCAATGATGAGATGAAACACCTAAGTGTTTATGGGCAGTGGACGTTACCCTAATGTTTCGCCGTGAGCCTGTATTTTAACGACTTCTCCTTCCACTGAGCACTATGATAAATGTTGGCGGAAAAAGTGTTTGAATGAATGCGTATTAATGGTTTGTATATTAGTGATTATAGTTAATTTTGAATGTCAAATATTATTGAATCTAATGTATATTATTCGCTGCGTCCATTACCAATTCTGGGGGATATCTAGTTCCTCTTGGTATAATGGCTCGGACGCAAGACCAACGATGTGGTCATCCTGATTGATGGTTTAATGACAATACCATTTGGTCTTGGAAACGCCACCAACATCATAATGGTTATAGATATAGATGAATGCAAATCCGATTCTTGTGATTCAATTTTTAGATCAATATGTAAGATTAGGTGGTTAAATATTTTTATGAACTAATAGGTGATTAATTGTTTTGCTATTTGTCTCTTGAATGTTGTAGGTGCACTTGGATCAAATATTGAAAGAGGTGTGCATTAAAAACATTTAAAAAAAATATATATTGTGAAATTAAAAAAAAATGTAATGGAATTTGGATTATGTTACCTTATTATTTTTTTATACAGGTTAAATGTAATTTAGATTAAAAAAATAATATATATTGTGAAATTACAAAAAAGAAAATCATTCAAATTGAGGAGGTCAAAAACTCCCTCTAAACAAAACGCTGCAGAATGGAAAAGGTAGCGAAGGTTGGTAAAAATTGCCGTATAATGCTTGTGGCGAACGTAACTGCAGCGTTTTTATAAAACGTCATTACTTATTTTGAGGGGGGCGTAAACCGCCGCAATATGAAAAAAAAACCCCCGCAAAATGATGAATTTCTTGTAGTGAAATGTGGCCTATTGCTCCCTAATGATATTTATGTCTTCTAATAGCGTGGCAGCAGCCTTCAATGTTGGCACGTCCAACTTAACCATCTTTCCTTTCACCACCGATTGCATGATGCCCTCATTGCTTGTGGCAAAACAGAGAAATAACCTGATCAACTCAGGATAATAGGGACCCTCCATTTCCAAAAACTTTCCCAGTTCTTGGTTCTCTAGAAGGGTTGGAAAACTGAAACCCTCATTCTTAAACCATTCAAGCTTAAGAGTCTTCGGAGGAATGCTTGAAGCACTTCTTCTCGCATCATGCTTTTTAGTTTTGTGCCTATTGTACCCTTCCCAGCACTTCGTCCCTCATGACGAGTCTTAGGAATGCCTATTGATTCAGCTTGATACATGTATTCAGTACAAAACTCAATTGCTTCCTCTGCAATGTACCTTTCTATGATGGATGCTTCTGGACGATATTGGTTCTTCACATACCCTTTTAGTATCTTCATGTATCGCTCAATTGGGTACATCCACCTCAAAAAGACAGGACCACACAATCTAACCTCCCTAACCAAGTGGATGATTAAGTGAACCATAATGTCAAAAAATGAAGGAGGAAAATACATCTCTAATTGACACAATATTAGAACAGCTTCATCTTCTAGTTCATCCAACTTCTGAGGATCAATTACTTTGTTGCATATGCCATTGAAAAATAAGCAAAGCCTAGTTATGACTTGTCTCACATTTTTAGGTAAAACATCGCGTATAGCGATAGGAAGAAATTGTTGCATCAGTACATGACAATCGTGAGACTTCAAGCCAACTAATTTCAAATCTTTCATTGATACTAGACTTTTTACATTGGAAGAGTAACCGTGCGGCACTTTGACACCATGTAAACACTCACAAAAACTTGTTTTCTCCTTTTTTGACAAAGTGTGACATGCTGGGGGCAAATATGTCCTCTTACCCTTAGATTGTGGATATAATTGTTGTCGTATCCCCATGAGTTGCAAATCTAGACAGGAGTTGAGCCCATCTTTTGTCTTGCCCTGAATATTGAGAAGCGTGTTGATTACACTATCACATACATTTTTCTCAACATGCATGACATTAATGCAATGTCTAACATCAAGAACCTTCCAATATGGAAGATCAAATAATATCGACTTCTTCTTCCATATGTTTGTATCTTTTGATTGTTTTTTAGTCTTACCAAGTACCACATTTAAATTTTTCACTCGTTCATAAACTTCGTCACCAGTTAATGCAGTAGGAGCAATGTCATATTCTTGATATCCATTAAAAGCTTTCTTTAACCTTCGATATGGATGGTTAGGTTTAAGAAACCTTCGATGGCCAAGGTAAACTGTCTTCTTCCAATTATGCAATTGATGATAACAAGTTCCCTCTTCACAAATAGGGCAAGCTTTATGCCCCTTAACACTATACCCGCACAAGTTTCCATATGCTGGGAAGTCATTGATTGTGCAAAACAACATGGCATGCAACTTGAATGATTCACTTGAATACCCATCAAACACATCAATTCCCTCCTCCCACAACATCTTTAAGTCTTCGACCAACGGACTTAAATAAACATCAATGTCATTTCCTAGTTGCCTTGGACCAGAAATCATCATAGATAACATCACATTTTTGCGTTTCATGCATAACCATGGAGGTAAGTTGTAAATTATCAACAAAACAGGCCATGAACTATGCTTTGTGCTTAAATTACCAAATGGATTCATTCCATCTGTAACTAGTCTAAGCCTAACATTTCTTGGCTCCTTACCAAAATTTGGAAACATAGAATTAATTTTTTTCAATGCAAACAATGTCCAAAGTAGGTTTGTAAACTATGACCTCCACCAGCAGCCCGAACCCGACCTGGGTGCTCAGGCTTTCCAATTGCAACTGTGAGTATATCCTAGCGTCCATGGGAAACAAAAGATCTCTCTGTGGACTATTGTTCCAATATATCCTACAGTACAAGACACAAAAACAATTTAATAAACATCTATTGATCCATATGTTAATTAGCATCATATGTACAAAACAATTATACTTACTATCTTGTTAGCAATCTCTTTTGCTGCCTCAGTTGTAAACTCGCCCGTTTTTTTTATGCGACCATGCTTCCATAATTCATGGCGTGTGGGTGGAGAAGGAGGACCACTAACTGTAGTCTCATCTTGGCTAGCTTGATGCTTCATAGCCTTCTCTTTCATCAACTTTTTCTTAAGCCATGGATAACCCCCACGAGACATCACGACAATGGTGTCATTGTTTTCCTGAATCTCTTGTGCCTTCTTTCTTTTCTCCTACAAAAGTACCATATAATGAGATTAAAGGTAAAAACATAATATTCTGAACAATACAAATAACAATGCATGTAATCCTAACTTACCAAAAACTCTTTAGTCATTCTAGACTCTACAAATGCGTTCCATGTCTCTTGATCTATGGTGGGGTTCTTATAACCAGGAAATTCACCTTTCTTTTTTCCAAAAATGTAATTGTTCGTGAGGCTGGTCTTATATGCCCTCCACCTCTCAGCCACAATAGAGAGGGTTTTCCTTCTCATGTCCTCTGTCCTAGGAATGTCCTAAGTTTCCTACATTTATGATAACAATGAGTTAGTACATATTATATCCTAATGAAGTTTAATAATGAAAAATGTTGATTATAAATGAAATTTTACCGTAATATCTGCCCAAATATGGTTCTTGACAACCTCCTCTACATGATCCCAACTAGGCAATAAAATAGAAACCTTGGTTCTAGCAAGAACCCCCATGGTACTCATAAATTCGGTAGCTGAGTCTCCCATAGGTCTCTTAGTTATCTCATCACGTTCTTCATAATGAGAAGGTCTTGATTGATGTTGCTCCCTGAACAACATTATTACAATTTACATATACTATGACATTGAAAAAGGTTTAAAGAATTTCATAGTACAAAGTGGGAATTTCATTATTGCACATAATGAAATCAAATACCCATCAAGATATTCAGCACCTCATACATATAGAATGTCATAACAATTAACATTTTCAGTTAACTTTTGATTTTTTTTCTACACCTCATACATATTATACAAAGTGGAAGGGTCACGTGCTGTGGTGATATGGCAACATCCTGTTGGACCACGTGGATTTGCAGTGATTATGGATTATGAAAGGAGGGAGGAATATTCGTGCCGCCTAAAGGATATATGCTTAAAGTACTAGTATATTAATTAATTAAGGTGCCATCTCATCAACTTTGCATCATCTGCATTAGCAAACAAACGCTTCAATCTTGGAACAATTGGCAAATACCATAAAACCTTTGCCGGAGGACCCTTACTGCTAATCTCATAATCAAAATCACCTTGCTTCTTTTTATATCGTGACAACCCACACCTTGGACATTCATGCAAGCCTTCAAACTCACCATGATATAGCATACAATCATTTGGGCATGCATGTATCTTCTTATACTCTAAACCCATGGGACACAACACTTTTTTTGCCTCGTAGTTACGACTAGGCAATGTGTTACCTTCTGGAAGCATTTCTTTCAGCAACTCTAACAATTCTGTGAAACTTTTATCACTCCACCCATGTCTCGCCTTCAAATTAAACAATCTCAATACCGCTGACAATCTTGTGAATTTTGTGCAATTTGGATATAACGTCTTCTCTGAATCTCTGCATAAAGTTTCATACATATGTGCTCTCTTGAATGATTCTGGACCAACATCACGAATCATCTCCTCAAGCCGATCATCCATATCTACCTCTTGTGTAAAATTTTGAGTTTGAGTTTCAGCTGACACATTTGGAATGTCAATATTTTCACCATGCCATATCCAACGTGTATAATTCTTAAGAAACCCATCACATAGAAGATGTTCCCTTATAACATCAAGTTCTAAACGACTTCCATTACAACAATTAACACAAGGACAGAAAAACTTTCCATTCATATCATCATTACAATTTCGTATTACATATTCAATAAAATATTCAACTCCAGTCTCATATTGCTCACTTATGTGTGGCGCTCGTATCCAACTTCGATCCAATAACCAACTTCGATCCATAAGTTATGTTCTCTATCAAAAAGATAGACCATGGATGTCAATCTCACTATTTTATACAAGGTGTGTCCCTATCCCATTCAAGATTTTATTTTATACTTGATCAATATGTACTAGTACAATCCATTTTCTTAAACTTGACAAAATTTTGACAGCATTTCGTATTGGTCTCTAAGTACATGAAATGAAAGTGGTGACATCAAATTATATACACCACAATCAAATATGCACTCAAAGAGCAACACAAAATGCAATAAACCAAAATTTAATCAAATTTAAGATGAGACTTAACTTGTACGTATCAAACAAGTATAAAGAAAATTACTCATCCCAAACTGTCCAACAAGACAATTCAAGATTAAATATAAATGATTAAATAAATTTAATCATTTGTATTGAATCTCAAACGAGAAACTAAGGTTCACTTAATGTGTGCATAAACTAAATATATAATAGACAAGAATTATAGAGAAAAAAAGTGCATGCGTTTCAAAGCTTCAAATAATAAATCAAGTATGTTTATTTATAATCTTTTTTTTTCATTCTATTTAAACTAAATGACTTGTTACATTATTTCATTGCAATTTTTTATCAAACCAAATAAACTAAAAACCTGCCATATTTTTTTTATAATTTTTTATTCTATTTCTCTTTTTTTAGCAATCAAGTATGATTAAAGTATAATCTTTTTACCGATTAGCGTGACGATCCTCCCGCACTCGAGGTTCTTCATAATGAGAAGGTCTTGATTGATGTTGCTCCCTGAACAACATTATTACAATTTACATATACTATGACATTGAAAAAGGTTTAAAGAATTTCATAGTACAAAGTGGGAATTTCATTATTGCAAATAATGAAATCAAATACCCATCAAGATATTCAGCACCTCATACATATAGAATGTCATAACAATTAACATTTTCAGTTAACTTTTGATTTTTTTTCTAAAACAGGCCATGAACTATGCTTTGTGCTTAAATTACCAAATGGATTCATTCCATCTGTAACTAGTCTAAGCCTAACATTTCTTGGCTCCTTACCAAAATTTGGAAACATAGAATTAATTTTTTTCAATGCAAACAATGTGCTGGATGCCTAAGTTGTCCATCACATTTTCTCTCATCTTCATGCCATCTCATCAACTTTGCATCATCTGCATTAGAAAACAAACGCTTCAATCTTGGAACAATTGGCAAATACCATAAAACCTTCGCCGGAGGACCCTTACTGCTAATATCATAATCAAAATCACCTTGCTTCTTTTTATATCGTGACAATCCACACCTTGGACATTCATGCAAGCCTTCAAACTCACCATGATATAGCATACAATCATTTGGGCATGCATGTATCTTCTTATACTCTAAACCCATGGGACACAACACTTTTTTTGCCTCATAGTTACGACTAGGCAATGTGTTACCTTCTGGAAGCATTTCTTTCAGCAACTCTAACAATTCTGTGAAACTTTTATCACTTCACCCATGTCTCGCCTTCAAATTAAACAATCTCAATACTGCTGACAATCTTGTGAATTTTGTGAAATTTGGATATAATGTCTTCTCTGAATCTCTGCATAAAGTTCCATACATATGTGCTCTCTTGAATGATTCTGGACCAACATCACGAATCATCTCCTCAAGCCGATCATCCATATCTACCTCTTGTGTAAAATTTTGAGTTTGAGTTTCAGCTAACACATTTGGAATGTCAATATTTTCACCATGCCATATCCAACATATATAATTCTTAAGAAACCCATCACATAGAAGATGTTCCCTTATAACATCAAGTTCTAAACGACTCCCACTACAACAATTAACACAAAGACAAAAAAACTTTCCATTCATATCATCATTACCATTCCGTATTACATATTCAATAAAATATCCAACTCCAGTCTCATATTGCTCACTTATGTGTGGCGCTCGTATCCAACTTCAATCCAATAACCGACTTCGATCCATAAGTTATGTTCTCTATCAAAAAGATAGACCATGGATGTCAATCTCACTATTTTATACAAGGTGTGTCCCTATCCCATTCAAGATTTTATTTTATACTTGATCAATATGTACTAGTACAATCCATTTTCTTAAACTTGACAAAATTTTGACAGCATTTCGTATTGGTCTCTAAGTACATGAAATGAAAGTGGTGACATCAAATTATATACACCACAATCAAATATGCACTCAAAGAGCAACACAAAATGCAATAAACCAAAATTTAATCAAATTTAAGATGAGACTTAACTTGTACGTATCAAACAAGTATAAAGAAAATTACTCATCCCAAACTGTCCAACAAGACAATTCAAGATTAAATATAAATGATTAAATAAATTTAATCATTTGTATTGAATCTCAAACGAGAAACTAAGGTTCACTTAATGTGTGCATAAACTAAATATATAATAGACAAGAATTATAGAGAAAAAAAGTGCATGCGTTTCAAAGCTTCAAATAATAAATCAAGTATGTTTATTTATAATCTTTTTTTTTCATTCTATTTAAACTAAATGACTTGTTACATTATTTCATTGCAATTTTTTATCAAACCAAATAAACTAAAAACCTGCCATATTTTTTTTATAATTTTTTATTCTATTTCTCTTTTTTTAGCAATCAAGTATGATTAAAGTATAATCTTTTTACCGATTAGCGTGACGATCCTCCCGCACTCGAGGTTCTTCATAATGAGAAGGTCTTGATTGATGTTGCTCCCTGAACAACATTATTACAATTTACATATACTATGACATTGAAAAAGGTTTAAAGAATTTCATAGTACAAAGTGGGAATTTCATTATTGCAAATAATGAAATCAAATACCCATCAAGATATTCAGCACCTCATACATATAGAATGTCATAACAATTAACATTTTCAGTTAACTTTTGATTTTTTTTCTACACCTCATACATATTATACAAAGTGGAAGGGTCACGTGCTGTGGTGATATGGCAACATCCTGTTGGACCACGTGGATTTGCAGTGATTATGGATTATGAAAGGAGGGAGGAATATTCGTGCCGCCTAAAGGATATATGCTTAAAGTACTAGTATATTAATTAATTAAGGATGGTAGTATTTTTTGGACTTTAGCTTTTAGTCTCGGGTTTATGGAAGAAAAACTCAAATAAAGAAAGTAGATGATGCATCATGCAAGTGTTTTTTGGAAGGAAAAATTTTAACATACACACATTTCTTTTAGATGTACAAATAAAAGAAAAAAAATGTTATGAATATAAATATAATAAATAATATGATTAAATAAATTATTTGTTATTTTTATTTTTCTTATTCTTCAACCTAGTAAAATTTAATGATGTAAGTACTGATGTGGGTAAGTTGCAATAATAATAAGTAAATAAAAGTAAAAATATTATTAAAAACAGTAACACTTATTTTGCCAAACTATGGTTAACTGGATTCAAAAATTAATAATTACTCTTGGAATGTAATACCTTAAAACTCATAATCAAAGCAGGGTATAAATAAATAATGCGTA